TTTTTTTTTTTTTTTTTTTTAGTTTTCGTTGCATCCAGTTCAGATATTGTCTCATAGACGGATTGATGGACGACAGTTAGGCGACAAACTTGAGCAGCAGTTACACCAACTTAGCCAGTCAGTAGTTTTCTTTCTCGTCTTTCCGTTTTTTTTTCTTTTTTTTTTTTCATTTGTCAACGAATATATGTATTTGGTGCCAAATTACTTGCAATTTGTGAAACACTTAGGAAAAAAAGCAGTTTCTGTTATTGCTGGATTACTGGATTTTTACAGTAGAGTATTATTTTTTCTTTTTCTCTTTTTATAACATTCAAATATCTGCTGAAGGTAAGTCATTGAATTTTTTTTGTTCTCTGTCTGTCCTTCAGTTGCAATTGACGTCGACGAGGTACTAAGTAACTTTAGTTGAAAAGTTGTCTGAAAAAATTTCTGCCTAATTTTATTTGAGTTCGATTTTCTTTTTAACTGCCGAATTTACAATAGAATGTGTTCAAAATTGTTTTGAAGTGGAATTATTTTTTTTTAGTCAAAAGGAGATTTGTGCATTGTTTTTTTTTTTTTTTTACCGTTTGGTGGTTTTTGATCGTTGGTGTCGATTATGATAGGTGTGAACTGAGTGTGTATTATGATAAGTTGTTATATTAAACGTTTCATCGGATCATATGCAAGCGCATATTATGTCTTATTTTTGCCTACATTGTTCGCGCCACTTTTTATCTAAATTCAGATCATTTCTTGCGACCAGTATAATTCTTTGTTTGTTTGTCGGATACCGATATTGTTTACAACTTGTATTTCTGCTCTGACAGGCTTTATTTAGTCTTTTACTGTCTAAAATATTCAGACGGAATTATAACAATGGGTGAATTAACAATAAATCAACTGAAAGCGTTGTTAGAGGGTAACGGACTTGATCTCAACATGCGGAATATTGAAAAGATACCAGTAAAAGCTTTGGTGAGTTTAAAAGTTTATTGCTGTGTTTTTCGAACAGCTGGAAAGAAATGCGTGGAATAAATCGTCTCTCTTAAAAATACGTCTTTTTCCGCGTAAACTTTTCTGTAATCTGCTTGATAACAATTTTATACTGCAATATTTTACTTTATTTGGGTTCCATCTAGTCCGTTGTATCTTTTCTCATTGTGTTATTCCAGGTTAATTACAGTGATGTAGTCAGTCTTTTTAACCATGATTCCTGGTTGCTCAGGCGAATAAATCCTACGCAAAATTGCAAAAAAAAAAGTGTAACCAGCTTTGTAAATTACTCAGTAGTTACTTAGCTTTATTCTCTGTCAAGTGATCGTATTGCTGCTTGTGACTTGCGAAAAATAAATGAAGTAACGGGTGCGAGGAATGACCAGTGGAGGACGAAGCGGAGGGAAGAAGGAGCAAAAGTAGAAGTTAAGGCGTAAAATAACTTCCTGGTGTGTGGTTGGGGAACGAAAGTGGGCATGGCTTGTTAAATGGTAAAACAATATGGAAGTCGTAAATTACAGAGACATCAGAAGATATCGCGTGACAACATCTACTAATCAAATAAACAAACAGGGGAAAACAAAGCGAAAAGACTAACAACAACTTGTTGACCAAGTTTTGACAAAAACTAAAGTTAGCCTTCAGCGATCAACTGCCATTATCATGAAGGATAAATTTATTCAGTGTTAGTATTTCTCTTTTATTTCTTGGGGGAGGCTTGCAGTTGCGCCGTTTTACTTGCTGAAGAAAATTGCTTTGTCCAAATCTGCTAACGTAGGTTTCTGTTTTTTTTTCAAGCCGCTGGTACTTTGTTAATCCGTAACTGCGTTGCCAGGATTCTAATCGGTTGTACGGAGAAATCGGTTAAATTCAGTGGGTTCCTGACGCTTCGCTCGTTGTAGAGGTTGCAGGGCCGCTTGGTCTGGTAGAGGAGCTTGGAAAATTGCTTCTAGATCAGTACTTTCAATCTTTTTCAGTTTTACAATGATTTAATCGGTGTATTTTCCGGTTAATCACGAGACACACCATATATGTTCTCAGCGTCTGAGTTTTCTCGATTGTTGTTTTGTATTTTTTATATTTTAGAGTAAGCTGCCTCGAGCTACTCACCTTGATCTGTCAGCGAATTCTATTTCTGTCATTCCGCCAGAATTCTGTCTGTTGACACATATCACGCATCTAGAGCTAGCTAGCAACAGACTTCACTCGTTGCCGGAAAATTTTGGTAACCTGTCGAATCTGAACCATCTAGATTTATACAAAAACTACCTAGAGGTTCGCTTGCTTCACTAAATGGACAGCAGATTAAAATTTTGTTTCAATTTCCCTTCATAGAATTGTAGATCGGAAACCATGATTTAACTTTTTGGTTCTTTATACTTTTGCATGACAGCACCCGTTCTGTATGCTCTCTGGACAGGTGTTATTTTGAACAACTTCTTTTAGGAGCTCCCGCTGTCCTTTGGGAATTTGTCAAACTTAAAATGGCTTGATCTAAAAGACAATCCATTACAAAATGATATTTCTAAAGTGTGTGGCGACTGTAGTGATGACAAAGGTTGTAGAGCAGCAGCTACTGATGTCGTTCAGTACATGCGCCAGAAAGCTGAAGAACGAAGAGCTCTTCTCGACAAGCAAAACAGATTGAATCGACGTATGTTATTGGTTGTAAAATTTTTTCCTTCACTCTTGTGTAATTTTTTATTTTAGTTGTGTTTAAGAGATCGAAGCGAATGCAGAGAAGTCGGAAAACGCAGCTCAAAAGGAAAAGGCAACGAAGAAGAAAAAAAAGAAGTTGAAGGAGAGGTTGGCTCAGCAAGCTGATGAAGAGACGGTGCCACTTTTTGTACCCAAAGGTCTCGGCTTTTATAAACCGCTTTCTGAACTTGGTTATTTTGCGCGAAGAAATCGTTTAACGATTTGTCTATTTTTCATGACTTAGTAGTGTATAGTTAATCTACTAGAAATTTACAACTTGCTCTTTGTAAACCTCTGGATTATGGTAGCTTTTGTCAAAAAAAAAAATTTACAACAGAAAACTAAAAATTGTTATGGAGAGACATTTAAACGCAGTTTTTTGAAGTACCTGAATTAAATGCATTTGTTATGACATCTTAAAATTATGATTTTAAGAACGGAAACCTGATTATGGTCTTAAAGAGAAAAAAGTTTTTCCGTCGTCAGCCGTTTCAAAAAGTAGCGTATCCAGTAAAGGTAATGTTAAGTTATTCATGCTTTTTTGCGGAAGCTTAAATCTATTGTGTCTTTTTTCCAAGCTTATAAAATTTTAGTAATTTTCTTTCAGTGATTCGGCTTTTTATCAGACCTTTGTTTTTTTTGCTTATTATCAGTTTGTTGGGAGTTGGGATTTTGTCTTATATGGCTTTCAAAAAATGTTACACTGAGGACGAACTGCGGGTCGGAAATTTGCATCGTTTTTGCGGTGACTTGTCTTCTTTACTCACCGATCAAAAAGTTAGCTTAGTTTACAGCTCTGTTCTTTTTCAAGGCATCTGTTTATAAGTTAAGTTTTCAGTGTAATGCAGTAATTACAGTTCCAAATGGTGCTTTATTTTTGCTGACGCTTAAGATATTTATTTAGATATCGGAGTCGTTTTGGAAAAACTTTATGCAATTTTTAAATTCACTTCTGTCCGACGTTGCTGAATCATTCAATAATTTGCGGGATGAAATAAATAAGGCCGGTTATGCGAAGGCTGCAGAGGAGTATTTCTATTACACGTATAGCTGTCTCGTCGATCTTGCCTTTTTGCTACGAAAACATGCGGTTGAATGGGTAAGGGAAGCTTTTATTAAAAGTCAAAGCTTTTTCAGAAATCCTTTACTTTATTATTTCCAAAAATTCCGGAGTTGTTGATTTGTTTGTGCTCTAAAAATATTTTGCTTCTCGATTCTACACGCTTTGAATTTGCCGTCCTCTTTTTTTTTTTTTTTTTTGAAGTGGTTCAGTTTGGCACCTCCTTGTGCAACGTGACTGAAACCGTAAATTTGTAGTTTGCTTTGTTTGACTGCTTACTTACGATTCATTAAGAGAAACTTGTGCTTTAGAAATCGTTTTTTATGTCGTACTTTTTTATTATGCTAAGAAAGTGCAGTAAAACTTTTTGTTGCACCTTTTTAGTGT